CAACAATATTCATATTGTCTTAAAATGGCAAAACCATATGAATATAGAGTGGAACTTGTTTAGCACAACACTGTAGCCTATTGGCCTTCTCTACTGTAGCTTCGAATAACAATATTTGTTTTGTTTTAGATTTGGGAATCATGGAAAACAGATGGTGCAGTGACTGGATAAAGTGAGGGCTGTTCCAAATGGGTTAAAATGTGTTCTGTGGATTATTATTCATCAATACATCATGGAGCGTCTGTCTGATGGCGAGTCTGCCACCTGCTTGTCCCATATAAATCTCAAATGTCACTAAATTTAGTGTTCAAACCCTGAACACTTCATTTGTTAGAAATGCTTATATTTCATATATTTGTGAGGATAATGTAATTGTCACCTGTGGAATCTTTCATGCAATCAATAGCCTTCTTCAGGTTTTAGGGCTAGACACGCTGTAGTCTCCTCTGAAACTTACATTTAGTGCAACAATAATTAGCAATGCTGACAGGATTTAGGAACTTTCTGAGTTGCTTTTTGGGGTAGGAACTGACAGGATAGCTTTTTTTAAATATAAATTCCCATAAACAACCAAAAGTAGTCTACTGACCAGGCATAATGTGTAAAGGTGATCCCTACAACAATTATCTATGTGTTGTTCTTTCTTTCATATACAAGCTGCTACACTGCATGTGTATAAAAAACAGTTATTTACTTTCATTTCTTTTTGGACATTGGCACTTTGAACAACACTGTCTGCTGGTAGGTATTTGTCTTTCTTTTCGTAATAGATAGGTTACAAAGGAGGACCCCTCTTGTGTGTTTGAACTGCTTTGGTCTCAGTAAAACCAATCATTTTAGTTCACACAGTTTTTACAGATCATAAAACCACCAGGCAATCTGTGTGTCCGGCTTTTAAATCTTCAAAGTTTTCTCAATCTCGTATAAAGACATTGAAATTAATGCAACATATGTTTAATGACGGGGTGGTATTGCAAGCATGTCAGCGCACAAAAACATTTTGGCCACTTTTGAGCCGGGACCCGCCCAAATGCATTTGACCCACCCTGGTCGCTGCAGTACAGGGATGAATGCTCGGCTTGGTCAGGACTACCATAGATGGAGGATTTTTACCTATGTTTCAGTGTTTGGGTGGTTGAGACTGAAACTGTAGCACCCAGAGGGAATCCATCACAGACACAGGCAGAACATGCACCACACAGAAAGGAGATCTAGTGGAGTCAGATCATTGGTTGCTACATTGTTAAGAACTAATGAGGTGCGGCAATGATAAGAACTAATTAAACATGAAATAGGCCTAATTGTTATCATTTCATTGGCTCAACGCACTCTCCCCAACGGATTTTTGGAACTCCTCCATCCTCTCACAAGAGAAAAGCGTACAATGTTGATGACTGTTTCTTGAATCTGTTTAGTTTTTGTCTTCTTTTATTATTTGAATATTGTTTTATTGCTACAAAGTCAATTTTCACGGAAATTAAAGATTCTAATTACCTTGCTAACCCCATTCCTGTAATATTTCATTTCATTCATTTTCATTTCATTTGAAATGAAATGTAATTTTTAGCCCACTGCACCATGAACAATTGGTTGAGTAAGACTATAGTTACAATTTGAAGCCAATTGACAACACATGCAAAAGTGACAGTTATGAGGCTTATAGTCAAATTTCTGAGATATTTTTTTTTTACGCTGTGAAACATTTATCATAATCAAAGGCTTGATACTTTGCATGTAATGAGCCAGTTATATATTAGTTTCACGTTGCAAGTTGAACTACAGTACAAAAGTCATTGGACAATGATATTCTAATTGTGCGAGTTTTGCTTGTGTGTTGTGGAAAGTCACACATTTAGGGGTATCTTGATCAAGGGTTTGTGTGTGTGCGGTTCAGGCAAGGCAAGGCCAGGCCAGTCATCCACAAGACAACTAAAAACAAAAAAAGGTACATTCAAAAAGACAGAAGATACATTTCCATCATGAAGTTCTCATATAGCGTTTTTCGTTTTTCCCCATTCCTCTTCCTGCAGACTAACAATAAAATTACACAGCCCAGTGTAAATCACCAGCAAATGACTGTCTTCATAGCATGTAATTACTGCAATCGTCCTATAACATCCTGTACGATCCGAATTGCAGCCATTTATCTGCCACATGCATCCAGTCAGCGCTCTGCTTTTATTAAATACATGCTCGATGTGGGGTCATGCTGGGACTAATCCTACAGGAACGGGCCCTCCTGTGAATCGAGGTGCAGGTCTAGATCTTCATAAATATAATAAAGAAAATGTAAGTTATTGGTTTTAGCGCAGGCGGAGAACAGCAATTGTGGGTACAATGGAAGCAAAGGGAGGTTTTATTTGGTCTCTGTGTAGAAGTAACAGTGAATGACGGGGCCTGCCAAACTGCCGTAATCATTATTTCACGCTGTCAATTTCATTTCAAAGTTGTAAAGATGTCAAAATCAGAAAGAGATTTGGAATATATAACACAATAGGACAACCATATCCTTCATTCATTTATCTTGTTGTCTATGTTACAACTACGCTGATGCCTGTTCTAGACCACCGGGTTTAGCTTTATTCATACTAGTTTGGAGCTTTATTCATACCAGTTTGGAGCTTTAGATTCAGATTCAGATTCATTTATTTGCCATTTGCAGTAAAACCACATTGGAAAAACTGTGCAAGACTACCCCAGTGTGCACCAGACGACACACACCAGAGCTCTTGCCACGGGGCCATCTTTACGGCGCCATGCGACAAACGGTAGAATAAACAGCAGAGCATTTATTCATACCAGATTGGTTTTTATTCTTAAGCAAAAGTTGTAACTCTTTGGCACCATTGCAGAAGCCACACTTTTAAGGGTAGACACCAGTTTGGAGACAGACGGGTTGGACTTGTTTCATAGTATGTCATCTATGTGCCTCCTCAAATTTGGTAAACACTGTGAGGTTTTATGGTGGAAAACAATAATATAATACAATTTTGGTTTTCCTTTGCTGTTTGGACATCAGATGAGGTCATTGTTTTGTTTGGGGTTTTAGTCAAGGCACCATTCTCTGCCAGCCAGCGCTTGACAATGTCACTCGAAGTGACATGTTGGGTATTGGTGCTGAAACTAGATTTTTGACATGTGTATGGCAGGTTATAATTCCTATCCTCTTTGCTTTTCTTTTGCATCACCAGAAAAGCTGAGCGGAAAAGGGCTGAAGTTAAAATACATGCATCTTTACTATTCCTTTCTCCATACAGTGTTCCTGCTCTTATGCTCTGTTCTGGTCTTCCAAATGGCTCCTGCTCCACTGCTCTTTGATGCATCTAAATTAGATTCCAACTCCTCAGAGAGCTAACCCCACGAGGAGTGTCATCTCTTTTTACAACAGCGCCATCATCGCCTACAACCACGGCTGTTACTAGGGCCGCTGCTCTCGCTCTGCCTCAGAAATACTCAAACCATCTTCACCACTGCATACAGAACATTCCTTTTTTGTTCCGTCAGCCATATTCCTGTGATTACACAAACATCAGGGCAGCGGAGGAAAGGCGTTTGGCTGAGCTTTACTATAAGTACTGGTCCCAGGGGGAGATTGATCAGACTGGGCGGGAAGCGGAAAAAGCTGGTTTAAAGGGAAAGCTTCAAGTGAAAAAAACTAGGCTCGAAAAATAGCAATACATTTATTTTCCTTTGGACTTCTTGCATTGAAAATAAAATGCAGTGCCATTTGTCAGAGCAATGGATGGATACATTGTCCTAATAAAGCATGTTCATTGTGTATACCTATCAATATTGTATGGACCTAATTTTGGACATATACAGTCAACTCACAAAACAGTATAATAGAATACAAATACAAACAAATCCGTCAAATACACTTTAAAATGTGGAAATGAGACAATGCAATGTCTTTACAGAGAATCCAAACGCAACAATGAGCATTATTAGGTCTATTTATACTTGTGTGTTTCCATGGCAGACAGTTCACTTCATTTTTCCTCCGCCTCAGTCGCCCCACAGGGAAAAAGGCGTGTTTGATCTTCTCAAAGTAAAAACAATATTTTATTGAAGGCATAAAGCAGAACACAGATGAAAATAGGGTTTGGGACTTCAAAAATACGACGGGGGAGAAAGCTGATGCAATTTGATAGACATCAGCCAGGGTAGGATTCATAAAGTACCTTTGAATGATAGAAAATGAGTTTGGCTTACCACGGCTCACACCGGACTGAAAAATCGATCAAGCGTTGGCCATAGCAGCTTATATTCAAATAATTTATTTTTTGTTCTGTTTGACACAACAAAGACATGTATGTTTTTTTTCCAACATTTTTCTTCTTCTACGGCAACAAAAATATATAATCATTTTAAGTACACTTTAAGTTTCATTTCACAGCCAGCAAGTTTAGACTCTGAAGATGTGTAAGACTTATTTTATTAATTTACTGACCTTATTTTAAGCAGCTGAAATTTCCGAAACTCTTTTTTCAGGGGTGTCCTTGCCCCATAGAGAGGGGAGCTATAACCTGCTTTTGGTGGTATGAGAAACCGTAGCATCCGGAGGAAACAGGAGCTGACTATTTACGGGTTATTTCTTCTTCCTTTTTTGTGCATTTAAAGCTCTTTGGACAGCTGGTGTTGTTGTAAATGTTCTATACACATAAAGCTGGCATTCACGTTGACATGGAAACAACATAGAAACACCATATCTGTTTTCTGAATTATTCATTGACAGTCCAGGATCACAGTTACAAATAGTTCCTGGACTCATAATTACAAACTCTAACGACTAACCCCACGCTCACCACAACATAATGACACATTAATCCTGATCAGACAAGAAAACAGTGACATGACGTTTAACAAAGACAAAAAAAAAAAAAGAATAATTGCTGTTGTAATTTGTGTGGATGCCAATAAAAAGTCTCCAGTCAACCATAACATTAATTATATTTCCTTTCACAACACTTGTTTCATTTTTCATTGTGTGTATGTTACAGCTCGCGACCTGGGATCCAGTGCACGGCTTGAACGGCACACTCACCGACCGCAAACTGGAGAACAACATGAGAGGAGTGGTGCTTCGAGTCGTGACAGTTTTGGTGAGTAAAACCGCCCGGATAACCTCGGAGCGTTTGTTTGAAAATGGGTCCACGTTTCACTCTGCAGAAGTGGCTGTGACTACTGAGGTGTATTTGTGTGTATTGGAGAGCCTCTTCTCTTGGACCATGAGAGCAGAAAAACACTCAATCAAATTTTCAGAGCAACGCTGAAATCTTCTGTGGGATGAATAAAGGTGCTGTTATCTTAACTTATATCCAGATCTTGACCTCAAAATTTAATTATTTTTTTTTGCAAATCCTTTAGGTAATCCAGTAGTAGTAGTAGTAGTAATCTTTATTTATATACCGCCTTTTCACTGCAGATCTGAGTCTCAAAGCGGTTTACAATTGTTAATTTTTTGGGCATTTGGCTCTCACTCCACACAGAGATGGGAGCGGGGTTGCCAGTACAGGAGGCGCATGCTAGAACTATTGGACATATTTTTAGTGGTAGGGGAAACCGGAGTACCCGGAGGAAACCTACGCAGACACGGGGAGAACATGCAAACTCCACTCAGAAAGGCCCTGGTCCGACCAGGATTCGAACCCAGGACCTTCTTGCTGAGAGGCGAGAGTGCTATCCACTCAGCCACCGTGCCGCCCGGACATACTGTATATAATTTAAGTTACTTAAAACAGGAGTACCTAAATAAAAAATAAAAAAATATAAAATGATATATAATATAACCATAATACCAGTTCCTAGCTCCTTAGATCTATTTGCTAATTGCACAAAGCCATACTGCTTTGCCGGCGGGGGGGGGGGGTTTAAAGTGATTGTCTGTAGTTTGTCAGAAAGAGAGAGAGAGAGGTACTTGATTTGAAAAAAACGACGCAAGCTCCCTCCCCCTTCCTTTCTGATTGGTCTACGCCTACGTTTCCGCAACACTTTTAAATGTTAATCAGAGAACACATTATACATGTACATTATTAATACACATTCACAGAGGTTTTCAGAATTATTTGTTTACGTTTTAATGAAAAAAATTATGTTTTATTCACAAAAAAAGCGATCGCGGCAAACCTGGAACAAGCTATTATCATGAACTAAGCTGGCATATTTCTTGTATTCGGTTCATTGGTGCAGTTTTTCAAACAGCCAGCAGATGTCGAACATTTTAATTGTTTTTGTGAATGAAAATCACTGAGGCCGGTGGCTGAAATGCTTCCTGTGATCCTTGAGGTTTTGAACTTGCCATAGGTTTGCTTCTCAGCCTTCTCATCAGAACTTGGACACTTTTCGAACTCCCACGGCAGGTTTTACACGCAGCGTCAACTTCACTGCACACAGCTCCTATAAGTCTGTCTACACATCCTGGTATTTTGCATGCTAGCTCCATGCTAAGGTACAAACAATACAATCACTGAATCTCTGGGGGAGATCCTAGTTGGGACATAGCTTCTGTTTATATCTTGGCTGTGCAGATGCAGGTAAGAGGCCCAAAAGTCTTTACTTAAATATTGGACGTTAGTACCGCAAGATGGATATCGGCTTATAAGTTACTTGTGATGTATTTGTTGACGAAACAAGTGAAGCGATCCCCACAAGCCAAAAAGCATTAAAGGATTTGTGTAAGTAGCGAATCACTAGTTTTCATGTGCTCGAATATCGCCACATCTTTAGATCTGCTTTTTCAGTGAAAGAAAAAAACAGTAACAGCCCTTACTCAGCCAATCAGCTCTCAGTATGTATAAGATTAAATGTTTTCCGATTAGATAAAAGACAGCATGTTGTGATCTTATTTGTTCACAATGTTTTAGTAGTTAATATATTTATAAAACAGAAAACAACTCTTATGTAGGTATAGGCATTCTAGCTTGAATGAATACTAATGCATTTGTATTATTATTTTCATTATTTCATTCTCAATCTTAGTTGGATGTTACAGACTGACAGGGACTTGGCTATAAATCTTCCACTACCTCCCAAGAGAACGTTAAAGATTCATTGTAGTAAATTCTTCATAGACTTTGAAGTGAGAGGCAAAAAAGATCGAAGGGAGACAGAGCCATACATCTCCGCAGCTCCCCCATTTTCTTACGCTCTTTGATTTGCATCATCCATAAAAGAGCATGCTTTGGGAATGTCTCCACACTGGGTCAATCTGGCATAAAGATCCCAGCCTCTGCAGTTCTTGTTCAAATGAATTTAGTTCATTTGTCTGTTTTGGAAGATTTCTTTTCCAGCTTACTACTTCTCGTCATATTACTACATAGAGATTATTTCTGGAATCTTTGGAAACTCTCTTAGGAAAGTTATATTGAGCTCATGATGGTGAAGTCCCTAGTCCCAGACCCTTCTCAGCTCGATATTCATTATAGTAACAATGAAGGCTTGTAACTTTATGTGTGCTGCTATGGCCTGTTAATGTCCATATAAATAGAATATTCTCTGCCTCTGAAGTCCACTCTGGTACATAGTATTTTTTATTTTGCAAATCTAAAAAGCAATACTGTGAAATACTGGCCACATTTCAACAACATATAATCTCTCTAATAAATGTTGTCAATGCTGGTTCAAACTACAGTTGTCTCGACATCAGCACACACAGACGATTTACAGACATTTAGTCCGGGTCTCGCTAGATGTAAAAGCAGATTGACAATGAACCAAGCAACACTGCTTGCTTAAGTATCAGACGCCTCTTGGGTGGGTCACAAGGCATATTAACAAACCATACATTCACAGACATTGTACTGCAGATCCCATGACAGGCCTCGGTCTGAGATGCTATTGTCCTTCCAGAGTCACATGAAATCTTATGAGCTGAAGGAAGTGGTCAGCAGTCTTTAGCAATTGAATGCTGCTAACACATTCTACACACACAGGTTAACCCAAAGCTGTCTAAACTTGAATATATTCTCATTCACTTTAATGAAAACCCAACAACAATTCCACTAACAAATACTATTAGACCAAGTATCAGGTTACAGACCTCCGGAAACGTCTGCTTACAGAATGCATGTTTATCAAAGTGTGTGGCACAGCGTTTTTCTTTTTAATCCCTCCTACTGGTCGAAACCTCCTGCTCCTCTCTTGCCGTTACATTTCTCACACACATTACCCCAGATGACGGATGCCTAAAGACAGAAATAGATTGAAAACAGTGTGGAATGCCTTGGCCTCTGCCCAACCCAGATGTGTTCTCATTTAGGTGTATGGTTAGAGGGCATTTTCCCATGCATGTGTGTGTGTCGGGAGCCACATCGCGTCAAAGCTTCTGAAGGGACCTTTGAACAGATTGTGCCGAGTTGCCATGGGCTTTTTCGCTCCCATAGAACCGTTTTCTGTGTATGCAATTATTTTAGACCAATTACAATATGCAACAAAGTGATAATAGGCTAGAATCCTTAAATGTCAGTGTAAGGCGCATTGGTTTTACTCAATAGAGCAATTCTGTCCTGTTCAGTTAATGGCCAATGGTCAGAGGGTGTCTGCCTCAATCGCCGATGCGGCGGCTCGTAGCTGTGGTCGCAAGGTCTCTGGTGTTGGTCCCGGCGGCAACCCCCGAACCCGGTGGTGGACACCGGCAGTAAGGGATGCTGTCAGGCTGAAGAAGGAGTCCTATCTAGCCATGATGGTTCGGGGGACTCCTGAGGCAGCTGTCCAGTACCGGCAGGCCAAGCGTGCCGCGGCCCGGGCTGTTGCAGAGGCAAAAACCCGGGACTGGGAGGAGTTCGGAGAGTCCATGGAGCATGACTATCGGTCGGCCTCGAAGAGATTCTGGCAAACCATCCGGCGCCTCAGGAGGGGGAAGCAGTTATTTGCCAACACCATGTACGGTGCGGGTGGAGAGCTGCTGACTTCGACTGGGGATATTGTCGGGCGGTGGAAGGAATACTTTGAGGTTCTCCTCAATCCCCCCGTCACGTCCTCTGTTACAGAGGCAGAGGATGTTGGGGCGGATACATCCATCTCCCTGGCTGAGGTCACCAAGGTGGTTGGTAGTGTGGCGATCGGGGGCAGTGCCAATGGAGTGGCAGACCGGGGTGGTGGTCCCTCTCTACAAGAAGGGGGACCGGAGGGTGTGTTCCAATTATCGTGGGATCACACTCCTCAGCCTCCCCGGTAAGGTCTACTCCAAGGTACTGGAGAGGAGGTTACGGCCGATGGTCGAATCTCGGATCCAGGAGGAGCAGTGTGGTTTTCGTCCCGGTCGCGGAACACTGGACCAGCTCTATACTCTCCATCGGATACTCGAGGGTTCATGGGAGTTCGCCCAACCTGTCCACATGTGCTTTGTGGATTTGGAGAAGGCGTTCGACTGTGTTCCCCGGGGTGTCCTTTGGGGGGTTCTCCAGGAGTACGGGGTCGGAGGTCCTCTGCTGAGGGCCATCCGATCCCTGTATGACCGGAGCCAGAGCTGTGTTCGCATTGCCGGCAGTAAGTCAGACCTGTTCCCGGTGAATGTTGGCCTCCGACAGGGCTTCCCTTTGTCACCGGTTCTGTTCACTGTATTTATGGACAGAATATCTAAGCGCAGCCAGGGGTCGGAGGGAGTCCGGTTCGGAGACCACAGGATTTCATCTCTGCTGTTTGCGGACGATGTTGTCCTGTTGGCTCCAACGAACCAGGACCTGCAGCATGCACTGGGGCGGTTTGCAGCCGAGTGTGAAGCGGCTGGGATGAGAATCAGCACCTCCAAATCCGAGGCCATGGTGCTCGACCGGAAAAAGGTGCCTTGCCCTCTGCAGGTGGGTGGAGAGGTCCTTCCTCAAGTGGAGGAGTTCAAGTATCTCGGGGTCTTGTTCACGAGTGAGGGAAGAATGGAGCGTGAGATTGACAGGCGGATCGGTGCAGCGTGCGCAGTGATGCGGTCGCTGTATCGGACCGTTGTGGTAAAGAGGGAGCTGAGCCGAAAGGCAAAGCTCTCGATTTACCGGTCAATCTTCGTTCCCTCCCTCACCTATGGTCATGAGCTTTGGGTAATGACCGAAAGAACGAGATCGCGTATACAAGCGGTCAAAATGAGCTTCCTCCGCAGAGTGGCTGGGCGCTCCCTTAGAGATAGGGTGAGGAGCTCAGTCACACGGGAGGAGCTCGGAG